GAGTTTTTATCAGTTTTTACATATGTAATATATCAAATTAATCTTCTTTTGATAAGCTTCGATTTAACATCCATCTTGTATGTATAAAAAAATAATTTATATTTATCTTTATAACAATAATAAAATTATTTTTAATATTAATTAAAAAAAAATATTTATCAACTAATATATTTATATTTCAAGTAGTTATGATTTAAGTTATAAAAACTAATATAATATAACACATGTAAGTCATAAGTAACACATATCATTCTAAATAGTAATATATTTTTTCTTGTAAAAAAGCAAACTAAATTTAATATAATTTTCTCATTAATTTTAAAATTTAAGAATAATTTTTTAACAAGTACCCGTGTAATACGGGTGTTGTACTAGTGTAATATTAAAATTGTATGAAAATCAGATTCGACAAATGATGGTTCAACCCATCACTTGGAGATAATAACGACAAAAAGTAAATATAAAATTTTTAATGGCTTATTCAGAAGAAGATTCGTCCATATAATGTTCATTCACGATCATTACTTTAGTCAATCATTCACATGGCAATTACTCAACCCTTTATATGGCCCTAGAGATGTTAAACGGGCTAGCCCTAGCGGTTACGGGCTAGCCCTAGCGGGCTTCGGGCTAAACGGTCCGGACCTAAAAAGCCCGGATTTAAACGGGCTACCAATAAAAGGACCTAACCCTAACCCTAGCGGGCTTCGGGCAAAACGGGCTAAACGGGCTAAACGGGCTTTAATAATAGTATTAATAATAATGTATCAAAAAATATCAAAAATAAAAATAAAAAAATTATAAAAAATTACAACGACTAATTAACGATTGTTTTCAACGGTATTTATTATTTGCTGCTCTATATATAAAACTACACATCATATATGAACACATACTACAAATTCTTAATAATATTTTTTTTTTCAAAAGAAAAAAATATTCAAATTATTACTTACAATTACCATTTCACTACTTATATTTTGTACGCTTTGGAAATTTTTACGATATTATATCACTATAAATTCTATCACTATGTTTCATGTGTTAGGTCTTTGTCTCATTTGTTTCCTATTAGTCGTTCTGATTGAGTTAAATATTTTGGTGTGGAGTACAATAAGAATATTGTTAATAATTATCTTTCAAAATCAATATAATCCGTTACAGCTCATACTTATATGTGAAGTGGAATAACAAAATTTTAATATACAATGAATCTAAGAGTATATTACTTACTTGCTGCAAATATTTACAACGCCCAACTCAAGTTAAACGGGCCAGCCCTAGCGGATTTCGGGCTAGCCCTAACGGTCTTCGGTTTAAACGGTCCGGGCCTAAAAAGCCCTGATTTAAACGGGCTACCAATAAAAAGCCCTAACCCTGTTTTTTTCCGGGCTAAACGGGCCGGCCCGTCGGGCCAAAGACCGTTTAACATCTCTATATGGCCCGAGCCACATTGGCCGAGCCACATTGGTACGCCATTTATTCACGATCATTACTATACAAAGTATCATTCATTTTATGTATCAACTATCATTTTTAATAGTACGCCTGAGCCACATTGGCCGGCCCAAGTATATATATAGTCATATATCACATCCTTTTACATGTACTATTTGTTGCACGTGGCCTTATCACTCCGTCATTCCACATCATCTGCTATCATTAATTAATACTAATTGTTGATGGTAGTGCCACTCTATTAATATAAATCAATATAATTTGGTAAACCATATCAATATTGATCTTAAATTAACTCATTAAACATATAATTATGTGACTTAAATGAATCAATTAATAATATACTTTACTTTTGTTATGTGAAGACTAATCTTAAGTTTTTAATGAATTTGTATCAAATTTTCTTACTTTTTCACTTGTCTTTATTTTTGTATCATTCACAACCTTATTCACAACACTTTTTCATAATGAGACATTGCATTAAATATTGACTAACCATGCATTATGTAGTCTTGTCTACACATGAAAATAATGTTTGTGTTTTTCTTGCCTAGTGTTTGTCGATTCACCTGACAATTAGGATGATCCTTATGACCAGTTTGTTACCCATTGTACTTTAATTTTTTTTTAGTACAAAAAATGGAGGCCAAAGGCCTAAGACTATTGCACTAAAATCCTTCGTGGGTAAGACATCCCATGAATGTCATGATCAAGCTAAGCTCTCATCCCCGAAGCGCAAATACTTACGTGCACCCTGGCACACCTAGCAAGGCGTGTCAAGGCTTTTTTAAAATGAGCATGTTACTTTATAAAATGAACATGTGTAAACATATTTACACATGTTCATTTTATAAAGTAACATGTTCATTTTAAATTGTCTTGGCACACCTTGCTAGGTGTGTGTTTGTTATGTTTTTGTGCTAATTTTTCATGTGTTTATTTGCGTGTTCGAGTCGATTTTAGGTTCGTTTTAGCGTTGTCCGGTC